CCCCAGGTCTGTATCAGGAGCTGTGAGGAACTCCAGGAAGGACATTAGTGGCCTGGGGGACTCTCCTTTCCAGCCAGGATTGACATTCGGATGGTCCACACCAGCATAACCTTGCTAGATATTAAAGTATTGACATTCCTCCATACTGATTGATAAATGGCTCCTGCCCTGAGTCCTCCAAGTGCCCCCCTGTTCCCAGGGACTCCCCTAGACCTTCCCACAAAGGAACAACTAAAAGGAAACTCAGGCTTAGCCCAGGGCCCTCAGACCTCTGCTCAGAGCAAAAGCCACCATCCATCCTTATTGGGCAGGGTTTTGTGTTTTTTTAAAAAATATAACTTTATTGATTTCAGAGAGAGGAAGAGAGAGAGAGAGAGAGAGAAACATCAATGATGAGAGAGTCGTCATTGGTTGGCTGCCTCCTGCACGCCCCCCACTGGGGATCAAGCCTGCAACCCTGGGCATATGCCATGACCGCGAATTGAATCTCAATCTCTTGGATTATGGCTCAACCGCTGAGCCATGCCTGGCCAGGCTGGCCAGGTTTTTAATATTCTGAATATTACCCTCATTCACCTTGCTCTGCATCCTCGGTGAGGCAGGTGAGGCAGGTGAGGCAAGCATGACCTGAACTAGCCCTCTCCTGGCCCCAGGCAGCTGAGGCAGGTGTCAGGAGGCCCCGATTGCCAGGATAAAGGCAGACAATGTTCGCCTCTCTCTGCCCAGGGATCGCAGCTGCCACCATCTTCAGCCCCAGCAGGGACGTGGCTGTATCCCAGAGTCAGCTGCGCGTGGCCTTCGATGGGGATGCTGTGCTCTTCTCGGACGAGTCGGAGCGCATTGTCAAGGCCCACGGGCTGGACAGGTTCTTCGAGCATGAGAAGGCCCATGAGAACAAACCCTTGGCCCAGGTGCTCCACACACTCCCCAGAGCCCCTGAGTGGAGCAAGGTGGCTCCTCAGAACCTGCCCTTGGCTGGAACCTCCAGCCCAGAACCAAACTCTGAGGTTGGCCAGAATCCAACCAGGCCCCTTAACAAGCCTCCAGCCCTCATCCCTCTCACCTGAGCCCTGGGTCCCCTCAGTGAGCTTCTACCCCTTCACTGAGCCCCTATCCCCCTCACTGCAGTCCCACCCTCCCTTTGAAGCCCCCATCCTCTCTCTAAGCCCCTCTCTGAAGCTCCTACCTCTCCTTTGCAACTCCTAGCTGAGGTCTCCATCCCCTCCTGGAAGTCCCCATCCTTTTCTGAGGTCTCCCCATCCCTTCTCTAAAATCCCCATCACACTCTGAAAGCCTCACCCTCTCCCTCTGAAGCCACCATCTTCTCCTGGAACCCCCATCCCCTCTTTGAGAATCCCTGCCCCTCTAAGTAGGCTCCCCTCCTCCCCAAAAGTCCCCATTTCCCTCACTAGAGAAAAGGAAAAGCTGGACTGGTGCCCCTCACTGGGGCAGGAGATCCAGCTGGGTCTGGGGTCTGGAGCACCCCTCTGCTTTGGGCCACTCCAGCCCTAACTACCTCCTGCATCCATCCATTGGCAAGGGGCTCAGGGACCCTCACTCACTGTCAAACTGCTCTGGAGTCTCCCTGAGAGCAGAATATGCCCCAGAGCCTGGTTGAAATTCCTTGGGGTTGGAGCCACTGGGATTCTCCAACCCTCCTGGGAGGTCCTATTTGTGCCTTTAACAAAAATCTAGATCACCCCAGAGTCCCTCTTTCCAACAGCTCAGCAGGCTCCAGTGGTGGCCCTTGAATATTCATTTCACTTCTATTCTCATTTATTCCCTCTGAAATCCTTGGGAATCAGGGCAGGACAGTTTTCCCACTAAGTGGTAGGCAGAGCCCAGAAGACCACTGCTTGCTCCGGTCACCCAGCAGGTGAGGAGTCTCCAGGATTGGAAGCCCACCTTCCCTTATTCCTAGCTGCTGTGTGGCTTTCTTCTTTACCATCCTCTGGTTCTTTACTCACTGTCCTCACCAACCTTCATTGTTCTCGGCACTGCAGAGAGAAAATCCTTTCCCTGACCCTTGAGAGCCAGAGCATGACACCCTGAGCCAGTTACACATGGTCTGTCTGTCCATGTTGTTTGTAGCTGAAATCCATTCTGCCTGGAGGATGCCCGCACCATGGTTGCTAAATATTTTTAATATCCTCCTTCTGGTGAGCACAGAGGGTCATACTTACTGAGCTATAGGACAGACACCCATGTACCCAAGGGGCACACAGATGGACATACATAGTAACAGCTGTCCTGATATGCTATTCTGACACAGACATCCCCAATCACAGCAGTACAGGCCCCCAGACAAACACAGGTACTTGCAGTCCCACTGATGTGCACAGAGGCCTGAGCAGGCACAGCAGAACTGAGAGATTTGGGGATCTTGAGAAGCTTTCCCACCCAAACATCAAGACATGAATGCTTTAGGGAGGAGCCCAGCTGGAGAGGGGCAGATATTTGGGAGAGGGATGAGCTCACAGTCTTCCCTTGCCTTCTCTTAGGGACCTTTAAAGGGCTTTCTGGAGGCCCTGGGTAGGCTGCAGAAGAAATTCTACTCCAAGGGCCTGCGGCTGGAGTGCCCGATCCGCACCTACTTGGTGACGGCACGCAGTGCAGCCAGTTCTGGGGCCCGGGCTCTCAAGACCCTGCGCAGCTGGGGCCTGGAGACAGATGAAGCCCTGTTCCTTGCAGGAGCGCCCAAGGGCCCCCTGCTCGAGAAGATACGCCCACACATCTTCTTTGATGACCAGATGTTCCATGTGGCTGGGGCTCAGGAGATGGGCACAGTGGCTGCCCACGTGCCTTACGGTGTGGCACAGATGCCTCGGCGGACTGCACTTGCGAAGCAGGCCCCAGCTGCACAATAGCTGAGCCACCAGCTTCACTGACCCACAGTGCTCCAGGCACAGCTCCCTGTCACACTTCGCCATGTCATCCAGTGGATCCTTCTAGTCCCCTGCCACGCTGCCTTGCTGCATGTCCGCCCTCATCCCCGTGAGTGGGGCACTGGTAGGCAATTGTGCAGACTGGGCCGGCATTCTCACCAGCCCTCATGTTGGGCCAACACGGTGCCATGATGCTGGCTAGGAAAGTAAGACTGTGGCTGGATTTCAGGAGATGTTGATGGGACTGGGAGTGGGGGGACCAGAGGAGCCGGGATGCCTCAAAAGGCTTTGGGGGGAAAGCCAGCTCAGTGTAGTACAGAGAACACCGCTTCGAGAGAGAAGGGATCTGGCCTCCAAGCTCAGTCCTGGTATTAACTGCATGACTTTGAGTAAGTCCCTCCCTTTCATGGGCCTCACTTTTCCTATATTTTAGGTGGTTTTAAACTCTCCTTTAGCTAAAGAAGCTTGGTTTTATAAGATTCCTCTCTTTGAATGAAGCGTTCTGAGCCTGGGCTGCTGCTGGTCTACACGGCATTTTTGCACAGATTACAGAAAGACGCCATCTCTACAATGAATTATGAAAAGAAGGCCCTTCCTCTGGGCCTTTCCTCTGGCTGTACCCATGCTGGGGTGCACAGCTTGCTTAGCAGGATGTAAGTGGTATGCTATACCACTGGCTCCTCAGCCCAGAGGCCTTTGTCAACTGGGCAAAATACACAGTATTCCACAGCAATCCTACCATCATTTTACACCTTTGGGAACCACTGGACAAGATGACCCAACTGAGCCCTGTGCTCCTCTAATGAGAATCATCAGGGGTCAGCTGCCTGGGGGGGAGCCCCTGTGAAAGAAACGAGGGAGTGAATTAAACCTGCATGNATATTCCACAGCAACCCTACCTATCATTTTACACCTTTGGGAACCACTGGACAAGATGACCCAACTGAGCCCTGTGCTCCTCTAATGAGAATCATCAGGGGTCAGCTGCCTGGGGGGGAGCCCCTGTGAAAGAAACGAGGGAGTGAATTAAACCTGCATGCAGCCAGCAGGGGGCACTGCAGGCAGTTTTTGGGGAGCAGCTTTAGTGGCAACCTGCTTGGTGCTTCCTTTGCTTTTGCTTGTAGCCAAAATTCAGTTGTTCCTGTTTGCCAACCACTTCACCTCAGCCCTCGCTTCACCTCAGCCCTCTGTCCCTCAATTATTGTATCCTGCTGGGTCGCCAAGCAGCCCTGCCAGTGGGGAAAGAGGCGGAGTATCGGGGCTTACTGTTGTGGGCCCAGGGGGAGAAAGCTCAGTGACTGAAGTGGGAGGTTGTCCAGGCTGAGACGATGCAGGATGTGTGCGGAGATCTGGTCTGGGGCGGTGACCATTTAGAGAGGAAGGAGCTGAAACGTGCCCTGGAAGATTCTCCAGCTGTGGAATTATGAGTGGAGGTAATGAGCTCTCTGTCACTGGGATGCTGTGTGAAGGACGCCCTCTGAGGTACCCCCGTGAATCCTCCACCCTTGCCGGAGCCCCTGCAGCCCTTTTGTCACCATTTCCAGGGTAGAGCTCTCACTCCTGACGACTCAGCCTCCTGCTTTACTGACCAGCCCGGTTCTCTCTGGAGGGATGGTGGGCACCAATGGCTGGTCCCTCAGGAAGACCCAAAGGTGTGAGCAGACATCTGTTTGGGGGGTTGATGCCCAGCTCCAGGGGGGAATTCTAGCTGTGAGCAAGCACTTTGTGAAGAAAGCCAAAGGTGATCATCGCAGCGGGCAGGAGCCTGGAGGTGTGTGCAGGAGAAGTGGAACGCTTGTGGGGGCAGGAGAAAAGGATAAAGGGCCATCCGGGGCCTGACCTTCATCCTTGTGAGGACACAGTGCAGGGTCTGAATGGGCACAGGTTCTGGCCAGTGTAGGGCAGGGCAGTGGTTGCAGAAAGATCATCCAGAAAGGAGAAAAAAGTGGCTGGGCTCTTACTATCAGCGCCCAGAGGCTGGTCCTGGGGAGGAAGGGCTGTGCTGAGTGCCCGGAGCAGAGGCCCAGCACCGACTGCCTTTCCAGGGGAAGGGCGGGTGATGAAGATGTGTTTGCACGAGGTCATTTTCATCCAGTCAGGATCTTTCTGGGCAACAGAGGAGGCCTCAGGGCAGAAGCCCTGGTTTTGATCTCTTTCCTCTAACCATGTTCCAGGCCCAGCCAGAGATACTGGGAGACCTAAGAGGAAACGAGAAGGAAGTCACCTTTGATTCTGGCTGAACCACAGAAGCGTCTTCTGTTCACTATCCCCCAGGTCAGAATCACGCCCTTGGATGAGCCTCCAGGGTTCCCAGGCCAGCAGGCTTTAGGCCGCATGACCAGGGTGGACATGTGCACTGTGGAGGCAGCACCAGATGTCGCCTAATTAAGATAAACCCCAGGGATTCTGGGAGCCAAGAAGTCCTGCCCCCAGGGCCTAGTGATAAACACTGTTGATTCTTCCAGGGCTCTCAGGAAGCAGGAAAATATGATGCTGGAAGCAGAAAGATAAGGTGCAGTAAAAGCCTGGATTTCACCGGAGCCACCATTAATAGACACAGACAGCCCTGGGCAATGAGAGACAGTAGGGTCCAAATTCTATTACTGAAACCATAAATGAGCATCTCAGGCCTGGAAAGAAAGTGTTCAAAGGCTGGAATAAAAGGCCAGAAGTCCTGAGGGCAGGCGTGGGGAGCAGCCAGACACACCTGATTGTTTCAAGGGGTGAGGGGGAAGATTCACCAGGCAAATTAAAAAACCAGGGGAGCACCGAAGCCTCAGGCCCAACCTGTTCTGCAGTGCTGGGGCGCAGACCACAGCTCCTGACATGTTGGGCCCCTGTAGCCAAAGGCATCGTACCCCAGCAAGTCCTGCAGAACTTGTCCCAGGAAATGCTTGCCAACACAATCCCAGACCTGGTGGAAACTGCCACTTAGCAGAAAAACAACAGAAGCCCTGTTACTAAGCACTGAGACTGTTAAGATCATTGCAAAACAGCCCCCTCCCCTTCCTGAGAGCCCAATCAGAATGGTAGAGATATAGCAGAAAATGCCAGGAGAAATCAAAACTGGCAAGAAGTCCAAAACCAAGACGGATCTGGCATTATAATGATGTTCAGCTGGTATGCACCAGTATGGCCAGACTGGTACTTAAATATTGAAATGTCTCCATAATGGCAAATAGCTCAGGCCTGAGTCCCGGAGCGCCCCTGAATGGCCTCGGTTGCCCTGGCCCCTCCACTGTGACTGCTCTCTCTTTCCATGATCCAGAAAAAGGGGTTTCTTAGGAGACCACTCCAGCACGATGGCTGGTGTTCCCTCTGTCTGGTGGTGCCCACGCTGGTTTAGAGAGGTAAAGCAACTTGCCCAGTCGCACAGCTAGTCAGTGGCAGCGCAGGGACTCAAGCTCATATCGCTGACGCTGGGACCCAGGCTCTTAACCATTTCGCCATGTAGCCCATACATCTGCACAGAGATGGCAATAGGAGCTTCAAAACAAAGGAGTTTGCCCCACAGTCTGTTAACATATTGACCTCCTGCACGTTCAAATGCTTAATACACTTTTGTTATAGCTTCCTAAATAGCTAAGAAGAATTTATATTAGAGCCAAACATTTGCAAAGTCCTTGGGACACCTCAGACCACTCCCAAGTTCTGAGGAATCCAGTCTGAAGACCCTGAATTGGGCTAGTGCAGGCTTGGGAAACTATGGTTCTTAGGCCAAATAGAACCCACTACCTGTTTTTATAAAAACAAAAAAACCTAAAACTTTTATTGCAGCACAGCCTATTTGTTTATGTATGTCTATGGCTGCTTTCACACAGCAGCAGCAGAGATAGATGATTTCAACAGAGACTGTGAAGCTGAAAATATTTATCTGGCCCTTTACAAAAAAAGTTTGCTAACCCCTGGGCTAAGACAAACATCCCCAGCCTAATCTTCAGTAGGAGAGACCAGCTCACACCCACCTAAGGACTTGGAGGCAGAGGCTGGCTTCACTGCCAANCCCAGCCTACTCTTCAGTAGGAGAGACCAGCTCACACCCACCTAAGGACTTGGAGGCAGAGGCTGGCTTCACTGCCAAGGGGCAGCATGTGGCAAATATATGCCCATCTGTGGGCATCGGTGAGGCTGTAGAGTCTCACAGGTACTAGTTAAGTACCTCAATGTTAAACACAGGAGTTAAGATTTCAAGTTTTGACTACTTTCAAGTGACCCATGGCCGTTGTAATTTGAAATGTGGTTGGTGCACAGATTTGACTTGAGCCCATGGGTGAGGGGCAGGGAGTAGGAACCCTGTCCAGGGCTTAGCCTAGCTGGCTGCCCAGCATCTGCACAGGGTGGTTTTGTTGTTCTTGACTTGTCATTGCCCTCATAGGGACACTTGGGAATGATAAATGCAGGTAGATGGATGCGCCTCAGCTAAATATGAATTTTGGATAAACTGAAGTGCCCAGTGTTGACTTCAGTGCTCAGGTCTAACAGGTCATCCAAGCAAAAACAAACTCTTCACAAGGACAGTCCCAGTGAGGACTTTAGTTGGCCCAGGAGCTACTGATCAAGCGAGAGAGACAACTCCAGTGAAAATTTTCTTGTGCTGTGAGGTGTAGGCAGTTTTCTTCTGCTGTAAGGTGTAGGCAAGAAACACGCACACTCTCATGATGGAATTCTGGAGCAGGAGAAATCTGCAGATTTAGAGATTTTCCAAGGTTCCAGGATCCATGGCAAGAATGACAAGTGTGGGAGCTGTCCTACCTACAGCCATGGTTGCTGTCCCTGTTCCATCATGATACTCTTCTCTACTAAGCCTCAGAATCCTTCTCAACCCAGCATTCCAGCCGTCACTGCCAGTGGGTTGGAGTGGGTGTGAAAGATGAAAACCTATTTTGCCATCCCCAGATATTGCTTTGGATGGGGCATGCGAGGTCCTGAGTGCTTTTCTGATGTTGTAGTTCAACGCCGTTATTGCCAGGGTCTCACCCCAC